CGGGCTGCAGACTGATTCCGACCGTCGTTTTCGTCTCTCTCGCACCCATAAGAACGCTCAACGAGCGCGAGAGAGACAGGGCGACGAAAGCGACTCTCGGAATGAGCGTGCAGAGTGCTCGACTTGGGGAGAGAGGGCGTCTATACCCCGTGCTGCGCGGTGCTGCGTGCGTTGCGCCACGCCAACAACGCCATCGTCGACAACAACAACGACCACGATGCGCCCTTGCGACGTGACGCAACGCGGCGCGGAGCGCGGCCTGGCCCTGGAGGGAGGCGCCAGTGAGCTGCTCCGCGCAGGCCGCGCCTCTTTCTGCTGGACGGCAGCGTTTTCCCGCCTAGAGCATTGCTACTGGCCGAGAGCACCATTTTCCCGCCAAGAGCATTTTCCCGCCGAAAGCACTGCTACTGGTTTAGAGCATTTTCCCGCCAAGAGCATTTCTCTACTAGCCGAGAGCATTTTTCCGCCGAAAGCAAGACGAACGCTGTTCGCGCGTGACCGGAGGCGGGGCGAGGAGGGCGCGGAGGGCGACGACGGTCTGGACGGCCAGGACGCCGACGACCGTGTGAGCCGCCAACTGACGCGCGCCTTGCACAAACAGTGAGCGCAGAGCCGCGTCTCGACTTCGCGGACCTCCTAACCTACCTAAGCCCGGCTCTACTTGAAGGCGTCGTCGCGCCGCCCCGCGCCGCCCCGCCAGGTGATCTGTCAGTCACACTCGGGGCGCCGCCCCGCACGGCTGCTATTATAGCGGCCTGTACTGTGTGTGTGTGTGTGTGTGTGTGTGTGTGTGTGTGTGTGTGTGTGTGTGTGTGTGTCTAGTCTACGCCTGTGTGATTGTGCGCCCGCCCGACGCCACGCCCCCTTTGTGTCTGTGTGTGTGAATGTGCGTGCATGTGTGAGATGTAAGGTTGGGCCCCCTCCTCCTCGCATGGACCGCCCCCGCGCAGCTGTCAAGGGACTCCTCGTCTAGTCAGTCACTCAAGTCACAAAGCCTGAGAGTGCGGAGCGTGAACGTGAACACACACACACACGCACACACAGGCAAACGAGTGTGTCTGAGAGAGGGTCCGGCCGATGGTATCTCCGCGAGCAATAAGCACACCGCCACCAGCAGCTAGACTTTAGATCTGGGGCTGATGTCTGCCGGCGGCCAGGTTGCCGGGCCAGGGCTGCTGGCCAGGGCCAGGGGTTTCGAACGGTAGGTATCCTATCTCTGTCGCACCCCTGCGGCCTGCGAGGGACGGAGCGCGAGAGAGACCGTTCGCCATCAGCGTGCTTATGGCTTCTGGGCCGTCATGATGGCGTCGGGCAAAAGTGGGCGACGGGCTCATCAGCGACGACGAATGGACACGGTACACCGTCACTTCACTTGCGCCTCTCTGGCTTTGTCGCGCGGCGATCGCTCGGCCACCCCGCCGTGGCCTGGACCATTGTGGCGCCGCGGAGACGCACAGCAGGGCGTGGAGCAGACTCACGGACAGACGGACGGGCAGACGGACGGACCGACGGACGGACGGCTAGGCGGATCGACAGCAGAGGTGAACGGGCACGGGATGAGTCACAACGCAGCTGCACTGCTGCACACACTAATAGACGACCTGATTGATATCGCGGCCGGTTTGATTGGATAATTGATTGATTGGATGCCGCTTTGCAGTACCAGCGGGGGGAGAGGGGACGGGGGAGTTCGCCTGGAAAGAAGCGGAAGGGAGGGGACGGTTACGTCCGTCGAAGAAGTGGACACGAACGAGTCTGGCCTGACAGGGGGAGTGAGTACCTGCCCCGCCGCCCCGCCGCCCCGCCCCGCGACGCCGGGCAGGAGGCCCTACGTCGCAGGACGCGGACGCGGCGGACGCAAGGGGTTCCGTTGGAGCGTGAAGGACGGGGGCGAAGGACGCGGCGGGGATGGACTGGGCTGGACAGGACACCGCCCAAGCGGCCAAGCACAGGGAGCGCTTGAGGCACTGCAGGAAACGCTGCCCGCTGCCGGCCGCTGCATTCCACGGGGCTCATGGGAACATCTTTAGAGTGTCCGCCGGCGGGCTGGCGGCCTGGCGGCCTGGCGGACGGGGAAGGGAGGGAAGAGCGTCATCGGCAACCTCTGGCAGTGCAGGGGGCGCCGTCGTACCGTCGTGCCGTCATGGGAAGCGACGCCGCCGCGCCGCCGCCGAGGAAGGTATCCATCGCGCTGCTGGGCTGGTCGCCGTGATGCTATCAGGATCAGGGCCGGACGGGCCGGGCCGGACTACACTCGCTGTGCGCAGTGCCACGCAGTGCAGTTTGCAGCGCCCTGGAAACCACTTGTCGGGGTGACACGACACTAACAGTGCAGCGGGCAGCCCCGCAGCCTTGCGCCAGGCGCGTGTCGTCCCCGTTCTCGGCTTTCGGCCGCAAACAGTGATAATCGCGGCCCGAATTTAGCCTAGCCCCGGACAGGCTGGCCGCCACCAAGCCGACCAGGATAACGGCCAGCCAAAACAATCCCCGCTTATCGTGTGGGAGCCACGCGACTGGCCGAGGCCGGGCCCGGCCGGGCGGCGCCGCGCCACCTGACCAATATGACAACAATCTTATCCCCGGCCTCGTCCGCGGCCTGTACCTCGCGCCCCGCCCCACCCCGCCCCGCCCACCGAGCGCCGTGCACGCAGCGCCAGGAATGCAACGAATGCAATGCGCGGTCCCGATCGCGCCCCCTCGCGTGCAGTGCCACAGCCACCTCGGCACGCTACGCCGAGGGCCCCGTCGTAGCGCCAGCGTGGCGCGGCCGTAAGCACCGTGGCCGTTCGGCGGCGACCCCGCACCTCGAGACGCCCGTTAGCCAGGCCAGGACCGCGCGGACGCGAGGGCCTCGTGACGAGGCTCCCGCGGAGACGCCGTTGCAGGGCAGGGCCCCGGCAGGGCCCCGGCAGGGCGCTGTCGGCGCTGCTGTCGCACGGCGGCGCGCTCTTGACGCGTCGCGTCACGCCGTCCCGTCCACCTTGCCGCGGGCCTTGCCGCGGAGCGCCGCGGAGTCGCCTCTCGGTTCCGGCGGCCGCTGCCGGACTCGTGGACGCCCAGCGCGGAAGTGCGCCAACCGGCAGCGGGCCGCGCCACCGCCAACGGCCCCGCGGCGACAGGTCCGCGCCTCGGCCGCCGGTGGCCGCCACGCCCACTTCGGGGCAGCCCGCCGCGCCACGCCGCCACCATGCCCGTCCCGCCGTCCCGTATCGATATTGATGCAGTCATCAGGGAGGCCGGGCCGGGGGCCGGGGGCCGAGCGAACGAAGAACGAACCGCCGCTTCATTAAAACGAGGCGGCCGCCACCAAGGGGGGCTAATCACGGTGGCGCGGCCGCCAATCTCGGCGGCAGGCCGCCTCCGAACGGTGCTTCCGCCACACTGTCTCTCTCGCACTCGCGGGGCGCGCCGTAGCGGTGCGACAGAGACAGAGCGACGAATCGCCTTTGTTCGGAATCAGACTTTGGATGCATTCTGGGCGATCCAGGGCGACGTGGTGGTCGTCTTCTGCCCGAGCAGTCCATTTCAGCGCCGGCGCTTCATCGCTCTGTTTCTCTCGCACCCATACGGCGCGCGGCAGGGGTGAGAGAGACGCTGAAAGCAGCGCGACGAAGCGGCCATGTTCAGCACCAGCCTGCAGGCCAGGTCCAGATGGACGTGCTGGGTGACGTGCTCGGAGACGTGCTCGGTGACGTGGGTGGGCGTGACTGGAGACTTGGCCGGAACCGCGTCAGGCGTCCCCGTCACGCGCCGCAGCGGGGTAACTACGCCATCACCGCTAAATGCCCGCCCAGCGAGCGGCCCCGCCGGCCCCGCCGGCCCCGTCAGCCCCGCCACTCGGCCAGCCTCCCGGGACTGCCGGCCGGGACGGGGCGCTTGGGCGGGAAGAGAGCCAGGGCGTGGCCGCGTGGCCGCGGCGTCGTCAGCGCCGGTGGGTACCGGAGCGGGTACCGGAATGGGTACCGGAGCCGTGTGCGGTGTGTACAGTGTACGTCCGTATTCATGCCGCGCAGCGCGCAGCAGAGCAGTATCGTACGAGATGGGCGGGCCAGTCCGGCGGAATGCCACAGTGCAGGGTCCTGGAGGGAGTCCTGGGTCCCAAGGCTCTCACGGCATGGCCCGGCCAGCACGGCCCACTGGCACCGGCCCGGCCAGGGAGGCGTTTGTCTCAGAGTGGACCACCTCAGAGCGACCGCCCTGCCCTGCCGGCCCTGCCCCAACCCGGAGGCCGACCGTCCACAAGCGCGGCCTGCATGGAGGCGGGTCGGTCCCCGAACAAACCACGACGTCAGCCATCACCGTTAGGAGTACCGAACGCCCCGCGCTGAATTTTCCCAGCCGGTAAATGCGTCGTTGGGCGCGGCAGGGCCTTTACGGCCTCCAGCAGGGCGGCCGGCCCGTCCAGTGGATTAGCGGCGCGGGGCGTAACTGCGCTAACGACGCGGCGGCCGGGACATCGGGACCGCCGCGGTGCATGACGGGGAAGTGCCCAATCGGCCATCTGAGCGACAATTCATTACTCAACCAGCCGCGGCGCAGCGCGGCGCGCGGCCCGGGACTGACTCTGAGGCGGCTCTGCGTGTCCCTGTCTCTCGCGCACCCCAGTGAGACGCTGCGTGAGTGCGAGAGAGACATCGCGCCGTCCCGGAGACAGCCTGCTGGACCGGGCCGCCGCGGCGCGCCGTCGTGGCGGACTCGATTAGCGCACGACACGCCGGTCTGGGCGGGGCATTATACTCTCGTAACCATTGACTCCCAGGAGTACACCATCCCTAGGGACAGTGTACTCCCCTACCTCGAGAGGGGGGGAGTACAATGACCCTAGGGATAGTGTACTCCCGGGGGTATCCCTAGGGATGGTGTACTCTCCCTAAGGGGGGCGTACACTGTCCCTAGGGATGGTGTACTCCCCCGGGGGAGTACACCATCCCTAGGGCCAATGTACTCCCACACTAGCAGGGGAGTACTTGGTCCCTAGGGATATTGTACTCCCCTACCAGCATGGGAGTACATGTTCTCCCCTTCCAAGAAAAGGGTAGGGTCAAGAGTAGGTTAAGATCTGACGCGAGTTGAGTAAGATCTGTCAGCGTCAAACAGCAAGGCTGTGCCAGCGTCAAACAGCGAGGCTGTGCCAGCGTCAAACAGCGAGGCTGTGCCAGCCTCACACAGCGAGGCTGTGCCAGCGTCAAACAGCGAGGCTGTGCCAGCGTCAAACAGCGAGGCTGTGCCAGCGTCAAACAGCGAGGCTGTGCCAGCGTCAAACAGCGAGGCTGTGCCAGCGTCAAACAGCTAGACTGTGCCAGCCTCACACAGCGAGGCTGTGCCAGCGTCAAACAGCGAGGCTGTGCCAACGTCAAACAGCGAGGCTGTGCCAGCGTCAAACAGCGAGGCTGTGACAGCGTCAAACAGCGAGGCTGTGCCAGCGACAAACAGCGAGGCTGTGCCAGCCTAACACAGCGAGGCTGTGCCAGCGTCAAACAGCGAGGCTGTGCCAGCGTCAAACAGCGAGGCTGTGCCAGCCTCACACAGCGAGGCTGTGCCAGCGTCAAACAGCGGGCGTGCCAGCGTCAAACAGCGAGGCGGGGCCAGCGTCAAACAGCGAGGCTGTGCCAGCCTCAACAGCGAGGCTGTGCCAGCCTCAAACAGCGAGGCTGTGCCAGCGTCAAACAGCGAGGCTGTGCCAGCGTCAAACAGCGAGGCTGTGCCAGCCTCAAACAGCGAGGCTGTGCCAGCGTCAAACAGCGAGGCTGTGCCAGCGTCAAACGCGAGGCTGTGCCAGCGTCAAACAGCGAGGCTGTGCCAGCGTCAAACAGCGAGGCTGTGCCAGCGTCAAACAGCGAGGCTGTGCCAGCGTCAAACAGCGAGGCTGTGCCAGCGTCAAACAGCGAGGCCCGTGCCAGCGTCAAACAGCGAGGCTGTGCCAGCGTCAAACAGCGAGGCCCGTGCCAGCGTCAAACAGCGAGGCTGTGCCAGCCTCAAACAGCGAGGCTGTGCCAGCGTCAAACAGCGAGGCTGTGCCAGCGTCAAAAAGCGAGGCTGTGCCAGCGTCAAAAAGCGAGGCTGTGCCAGCGTCAAACAGCGAGGCTGTGCCAGCCTCCACAGCGAGGCTGTGCCAGCGTCAAACCCGCGAGGCTGTGCCAGCCTCACACAGCGAGGCTGTGCCAGCGTCAAACAGCGGGCTGTGCCAGCGTCAAAAAGCGAGGCTGTGCCAGCCCCACACAGCGAGGCTGTGCCAGCCTCACACAGCGAGGCTGTGCCAGCGTCAAAAAGCGAGGCTGTGCCAGCGTCAAACAGCGAGGCTGTGCCAGCGTCAAACAGCGAGGCTGTGCCAGCGTCAAACAGCGAGGCTGTGCCAGCGTCAAAAAGCGAGGCTGTGCCAGCGTCAAACAGCGAGGCTGTGCCAGCGTCAAACAGCGAGGCTGTGCCAGCGTCAAACAGCGAGGCTGTGCCAGCGTCAAACAGCGAGGCTGTGCCAGCGTCAAACAGCGAGGCTGTGCCAGCGTCAAACAGCGAGGCTGTGCCAGCGTCACAAGGCCAAAAAACAGCGAGGCTGTGCCAGCGTCAAACAGCGAGGCTGTGCCAGCGTCAAACAGCGAGGCTGTGCCAGCGTCAAACAGCGAGGCTGTGCCAGCGTCAAACAGCGAGGCTGTGCCAGCGTCAAACAGCGAGGCTGTGCCAGCCTCACACAGCGAGGCTGTGCCAGCGTCAAACAGCGAGGCTGTGCCAGCGTCAAACAGCGAGGCTGTGCCAGCGTCAAACAGCGAGGCTGTGCCAGCCTCAACAGCGAGGCTGTGCCAGCGTCAAACAGCGAGGCTGTGCCAGCGTCAAACAGCGAGGCTGTGCCAGCGTCAAACAGCGAGGCTGTGCCAGCGTCAAACAGCGAGGCTGTGCCAGCGTCAAAACAGCGAGGCTGTGCCAGCGTCAAACAGCGAGGCTGTGCAGCGTCAAACAGCGAGGCTGTGCCAGCGTCAAACAGCGAGGCTGTGCCAGCGTCAAACAGCGAGGCTGTGCCAGCGTCAAACAGCGAGGCTGTGCCAGCGTCAAACAGCGAGGCTGTGCCAGCGTCAAACAGCGAGGCTGTGCCAGCGTCAAACAGCGAGGCTGTGCCAGCGTCAAACAGCGAGGCTGTGCCAGCGTCAAACAGCGAGGCTGTGCCAGCGTCCAACAGCGAGGCTGTGCCAGCGTCAAACAGCGAGGCTGTGCCAGCGTCAAACAGCGAGGCTGTGCGCAAAACCGAGGCTGTGCCAGCGCAAACAGCGAGGCTGTGCCAGCGTCAAACAGCGAGGCTGTGCCAGCCTAAACAGCGAGGCTGTGCCAGCGTCAAACAGCGAGGCTGTGCCAGCGTCAAACAGCGAGGCTGTGCCAGCGTCAAACAGCGAGGCTGTGCCAGCCTAACACAGCGAGGCTGTGCCAGCGTCAAACAGCGAGGCTGTGCCAGCGTCAAACAGCGAGGCTGTGCCAGCGTCAAACAGCGAGGCTGTGCCAGCAGCGAGGCTGTGCCAGCGTCAAACAGCGAGGCTGTGCCAGCGTCAAACAGCGAGGCTGTGCCAGCGTCAAACAGCGAGGCTGTGCCAGCGTCACACAGCGAGGCTGTGCCAGCGTCAAACAGCGAGGCTGTGCCAGCGTCAAACAGCGAGGCTGTGCCAGCGTCAAACAGCGAGGCTGTGCCAGCCTCACACAGCGAGGCTGTCCAGCGTCAACACAGCGAGGCTGTGCCAGCGTCACACAGCGAGGCTGTGCCAGCGTCAAACAGCGAGGCTGTGCCAGCGTCAAACAGCGAGGCTGTGCCAGCCTCACACAGCGAGGCTGTGCCAGCGTCAAACAGCGAGGCTGTGCCAGCGTCAAACAGCGAGGCTGTGCCAGCGTCAAACAGCGAGGCTGTGCCAGCGTCAAACAGCGAGGCTGTGCCAGCGTCAAACAGCGAGGCTGTGCCAGCGTCACACAGCGAGGCTGTGCCAGCGTCAACCAGCGAGGCTGTGCCAGCGTCACACAGCGAGGCTGTGCCAGCGTCAAACAGCGAGGCTGTGCCAGCGTCTAACAGCGAGGCTGTGCCAGCGTCAAACAGCGAGGCTGTGCCAGCGTCAAACAGCGAGGCTGTGCCAGCGTCAAACAGCGAGGCTGTGCCAGCGTCAAACAGCGTGGCTGTGCCAGCGTCAAACAGCGAGGCTGTGCCAGCGTCAAACATCGAGGCTGTGCCAGCGTCAAACAGCGAGGCTGTGCCAGCGTCAAACAGCGAGGCTGTGCCAGCGTCCAGGGCCGCCGGAAGTACTTTCTGGTGGGGGGGGGCGAAATTTTTATGAAAAATTGTTGGGTTGCCTACCGTTAAGGGGCAACACCCAATACGGTTTAGACTTCTCTAATATTGTTCCAAATCCAGCGAGCGAAGCGAGCTTAAAGCGAAAATTCACACAATTCTAGACTTTAACACAACTTTTGCCATTTTTAGAGCTTAATCACACGCTTTATTGGTGGGCGAAGCGAGCCAAACGGCAAAATAATGGAGGAAAATTAAGAAAACCTGCGAGCGAAGCGAGCAAGAAGCCAAAAATCAAAGAATTTGCGACTTTGCTATATTTTTTTCTCTATTTCGAGCTCAAAATGGCACTTTAGTGTCTGAAAGTGGGGGGGGCGATGCCCCCCCACCAGATTTTGGGGGGGGGGGCAAGTCGCCCTCCCCCGCACCTCACTTCCGGCGCCCTTGAGATCTGTGAGGAGCCCGTTAGGTTAGGACTGGTTGGACCATTATGTTTGATTATAATATCTGTCGAGAGTAGGGTAACATCCGTCGCGAGTAGAGTAAGATCTATCCCGAGCCCGTTAGGTTTGGTTAGGATTGGTTGGACAGTTTAGATTTAGAATATTAAGTAGCCTTCCGTCGATGCAAGGAAAACCCAACCCAACCAACCCGACAACGGCATCTGCCCTATTACGTCTGCCATTTGGGGGAGTTCATTATCCCTAGGGACCAAGTACTCCCCTGCTGGTGGGGGAGTACACCATCCCTAGGGCCAATGTACTCCCCCCTCAAGAGAGGGGGAGTACCTTCACTCTAGGGATAGTGTACTCCCGGGGGAGTACACTATCCCTAGGGTCAATGTACTCCCCCCCTCTCGAGGTAGGGGAGTACACTATCCCCAGGGATGGTGTACTCTCCCTAAGGGGGGAGTACATTGTCCCTAGGGATGGTGTACTGGGGAGTAACTCAATCCGGGGAGTAGGATATCCCGCTTACACCGGCGCCTTGCGCCTTACCGCCGGAACGCAACGCCGGCTGGCCTGGCCCTGGTCGTGGTCCTGCGCCCCGCGCCGCGCCGACGCCGCCAACGAACCAAGAACAACCTTCCGCCCCGTGCCACTTGCCACTCCACTCCGGACTCGCCGGGCCGCGGAGACCGAAACGAAACCAACGGCCGGTTCGTCCGGATTTTGCAAGCCGCCGAACTGAACCCGAGCGCGACGGCACGCCGGCACCGAGCACCTAGAGTAGAGCCCGTAACAGGAGTGGTGCCTGCGTGACGAATGGGGACCCGGCCTGACACCTGTATTACGACCTGGAGGCCTGGAGGCCTGGAACTCGCCCCGCGTGATTCACTGCCGACCGGGCCGGGTCGGGCCCCGCAGACTGATTCGTCGTTGTCTCTCCCGCACCTATCAGTGCCCCGTGAGTGCGACAGAGGCAGAGCGACTGTTCGGGAAAGCCAGTGTGCACGGGGTGCGGTGGCGGCCCGTGGACGGAATCCTAAACACATGCACGGCGTGGCGTGCGTGCGACGTGCGCGTGCGTGCGCTGTCACGGGCCAACCACCAACCGGGCCTCCACGGCCATCAAAGCGAAACCGCCCGTACTGCGCCTCGCTGGATTAGCCAGGTGGGCCTTGGCGGCCCCGGCAGTGTCCCGGCGGGGCCGTGGCCGTGGCGCGCCCATGGCGGAGCGCGGAGCCCAGACAGTCTTTATGTCGTTTCCCGGAACGCCTGCGGGCGAGAGGACGACGCCCAGCCCAGCCCATGGCGGCGCGAAGGGCTGTTTTCCGCGAAAGCGAGGACGACGACGACGCGGGTCGACCGGGAAAGTTTCTCACACGCCGCCTGTCCCTGTCTATCGCGCACCTACCGCCGATGAAATCGAAAACGGCGCCGACCGCGTGGGAGCGATGCGCTGCGATGTGAGATGCGAAAAGAAAGAGACAAAAGACTCACCATTGATCTTGCTGGCCGAGGCGTGGAAGCCGGGTATCTTCTTCCAGGCGCGCTTGCCCCAGAAGCCGTGGCCGCGGTCGCCGTGGCCGCGGTCCGCGTGGCCGTGCTGGGAGTGCGCGCCGTGCACGTCCTTGCTGTCCTTTGCGTCCTTGGGCTGGTGGCTGTGTCGGTGGCCGCGCTGATGATGCTGCGGCGGCGGCAGGAGCTGAGGCTTGCCGTCGCGGCCCAGGTCCAGCGACCGGTGCTGGCGGTGCACGGGCACGGGCCTGGCCAGCACGGTGCCCGGGTGCGCGGGGCAGGTGGACACGTACTGCGTCTGGCCGTGGACTGCGTGGACCGCGTGGACCCCGTGGACGTGCTGCGGCGACGCCATCAAGGGCGTCGTGTTGCCGGAGGACGCGGGCGGTGGCGTCGCGGCGCCCGAGGCCGCCGTGGCGGCTGCGACGGCGACGGCCTGCAGCGCGGCGGGCAGCTGTCCGTACGCGGCCGGCGACTGGTACGGCGAGGGCGTTGGCGGCGGTGGAGGCGGTGGTCGGCGCAGGGAGCCCCCCAGGCTGGCGGCCGAGGACCCGCCGGACCCCGAGAAGCCGGAGTCGTGCTGCTGCTCGAGCGGCGTCTGTGACGGCGAGCCCTGTGACGGAGACGACTGCGGCGCGGCCGGCGTGGCCACCATGCTGAGGGAGCAGCCCGCGGGGGACAGCAGCTCGTCGGTGGGCCCCACGTTGCGCAGTAGGTCCTCCAGCAGGTCGGGGGCAGGCGGCACATAAGGCCGCGACTGTTGGTGCTGGGGCGCGTCGTCGGCCGGGGTCGGGCCGCGGGGTTGCACCTGCACCTCGGCCGTCGCCGCCGACGGCGTGGTCTCGTGCGCCGGCATGAGCATGGCCTCGACGGTGAGGTTGAGCTCGCCCAGCACGCGGCGGTGCCTGCTCTGCACGGAGCGCACCTCCTCCTCCAGGGCGGCCTGCCGCTTGGCGGACACCTCCCCGATCTCCTCGTAGATGTTCTCCTCGGTGCCGTAGCGCGTCACGTACATGTGCCTGGCCTGGCGGTCCGTGACGTGGCGCGGCGTGGACGCGGCGCCCGGCTCGTAGTACGCGTACGAGTACGAGTAGGGGCAGTCGGCGTGGTGCACCACGTTGCCGGGGCCCTGGCCGTCGCCCTGGCCGCTGGCCGCGGCGTGCGCGTGGGCTTGCTGTTGGGCGCGCGCGTGCGCGGCGTGCGCGGCGTGCGCGGCGTGCTGCTGGTACACGCGGTGCTGCTGCGCGAGCTGCTGCGCCTGGTGGTGCGCGGCGGCGGCCACCACGGCCGCGGCACTGCGGTGCGGCTGCAGCTGCTGCAGTTGTTGCAGTTGCTGCTGCTGTTGCTGGTGCAGGTGGTGCTGGTGCGCGGCCCGCAGCTGCTGTTGCTGGTGTTGCTGCTGCTGGTGGTGATGGTGGTGCTGCTGCTGGTGCAGCGCGGGCGCCGCGGCGGGGCCCGGCATGCCGGGGATCATGAGGGCGGCCGCGTTGCAGTCGGGAGGCGGGTAGGGCGGGGGCGGCGGGAACTGGAGCAGCGGTCGGCGACTGGGCGAGTACAAGGGCGGCGGCTCCATGGCACGGCCTGCCGCCCCCTGCAACACACAGACACACAGTGTGACACACACGTCAACGTAACCACCAGGGATAACCCCGCCCCGAATACATGTGAAGGTCAGGTTATGCAGATAAGGGGATGAGGCAAACTCGATGATAATTCATAAATGTCACCGCAGCATGGCATCTATAGATAGAGCGCTTCCAGGGCTGCGCAACCCTTACGAAACGGGGGCTCTTCCAGGACGACGGGCCACTTGGCCGCCTCCTCCGCGTGCGCCGAGACAGCCGCCAGCAGGCCTGCCCGCCCTGGCCTGCCCCCAAGCCATCATGCACACGCCGGTCTCGGGTAAAAAGAAAGTCCGCGACCCTAACAAGGACCGGCTCGGCTCGGCGCCGTCCTGGCGCGTGACCTTTGGCGGGCCTCCGCGGGGCCGGCAGCCGCGGCCCGGTGGCGTGGCTCTGGTGGCGACGGGGAGCAGCCTCACCTGCACGGAAGCCGGACGAGGCTGGCGGCTGGCGGGCTGGGGCTCACGTGTGCGAGAGAGACGGCGACCTATCAAAATGAACTGGCTGGAGGGAGGCCACCTAAGGGGAGGGGGGCGTGGCCGTGCGCGCGTTGCGTTGTCACTGTCAGCCCCACGACGGAATCGACTCGAGGGTCGGCTCTTCCGCCAGACAGGCGTCGCAGTCGCAGTGCAAAGCGCCGCCCGTCGATAACGGCGAGTGATTTCCACGCCACGGTAGTGTCTGTGGCTAACGATGGCTGGCATTTGAGAGGCACGCGGACACGGCCGACGGCCAGCACAGCAGACAGACTGGCCGCGCCGCGCCTCGCCTCGGCGAGGAGACAAAGGAGGCTGCGCTGGACACATGGCCGGGACAATGCGGTGACGGGGCGCCGCTCGGCCGCTGAAAGCACCATAAGCCCCGCAGCACTGCGATGGCGCCATGGCACTGCGACCTGGCCGTGGCACTGCCCCGCCTGCTCCGCGACGCCCCCACGACGCCGCCACGCGGGGCGCGGCCTCCACGGCGGATCCAGCGGAAGGGGGCGGTGTGGTATTCCTATTAGGGGATGGCTCGCCGGCTATAGCTATGCTGCAGGCTGATTCCGAACCAAGCTTTCGTCAATCGGTCTCTCTCGCCCTCTCGGAGCGTCCCGTACGGGAGCGAGAGAGACACGGCGACGAAGCGCTCTTTGGAATCGCTCGGCTGGTATGAGAACCTCGCACAGCCCAGAGCGCGGCCTTGACCGGGGCGGCGTCGGCGCCGAGGTCGGCGACCACCCTCCGAAACCCTCATTCCAACGCCCGTTCACCACCAGTGTGCCAAGCCTTTCCGAGAACTTCCCTAGCAGTGCACTGCCGGCACCGCCGCAGTATGCAGGTCGCGCACGCCCCCGCATACTAAACGGGGCCCCGCCGCCCGGCCCGCCGCACGCGTGTCGGGCACGCGCTACGCGCACGGCGCACGCAGAGCGGCCGCGAAAGCCGCATGCAGGCGGCGGGTATTTGAACCCGCAACACCACCAACCACCACGACAGTCCTGTTGCGTATTCACGAGCGGCGCGCGTGACCGCGGACGAAACCCTTGCTGCTACGCCACTGCCTCTCTCGCACTCACGGGCCGCTTCCTAGGGGGCGAGAGAGGCAGCATGGAGTGCTGCGCAGCAGGGGATGTCGGCGGTGGCCTTGTCCAGCCCAAGGCGGCGAAGGCGGCGAAGGCGACGAAGGCACACCCAAGGCCACGGGCACGAGGCACTGGCGTAAGCGGCGTAAGCGTCACGATTTAAAGCGCGCCCCGTACCGAGTTTCCTCACCGGCCGGCCCAGCGAGCCCAGCGCGGCAGGCACGGCACAGAAAGCGCCGCCGAGCCGCCAAGCGCCGCCAAGGCCCGGCCGGTATCGCCGCCATCTGCCAGGGCGGCCAGGGCGGCGCGGCCGCGGCCGCTTAGAGGCGGCGTCAGCGTCGTTACCACACTCAGGCACTCCATCGCGCCGCCAAACGGCCCCCCGCGCTTTTCTCAGCTTTTCCAGCGGTCCCCCGCGGCCGCGTCGAACAGCGGGCCGCACCGCGAAAGGTCTCGGGGACGCGGCGCCGCAGTGCCGCGCGGTGCGCCTCCTCATGAGCGTTATGGCTTTCTCCGCGACCCACGCCAGGGCCACGCCAGCAGACCGCTCCCGGAGAATCGCTCTGTCTCTGTCGCACTCCGTGGGCGTTCCGTAAGGGTGCGTGAGAGGCAGAGACACGAGAAGACGGTTCTGAATGGCTCGGCCAGCCGCCAACGGCAGTCCGCGCACCGCGGTGCTCCGCGGCCTGGCGCGCGAGTCCGAGTCCGGTCCAAGTCCGCGGGTCCGCGGTGGCCGTCGCCCGACGCGCCACTGCGGCGGCCGGTGTGCACTGCCAGTGGCGGAGCCAGCGCCGGCCAAGCGAAGCGTGGCTTTCGGCCTACCATTCAGGCCCGGATCCGCACTGTCGCCGCGCGCTGCCCAATCCGAACCCGAATCCACGACCGTCTCCAAACAGGGCCCCAACCCACCGCCAGGGTTGATCTCAATATGAATTGAGGCCCGGTTCCTCCTCCCCGGCCAAACACGCGGCTATTACAGCGGCGCCATTGCGGTTCAAGCACTCAAGCATTCGAGCGCGGCCTGCGTCTGCCTTGGCTCCTGCTTTTCCCACCCCCAGCCCCAGTGGAGCGGCCTTGCCCCAGAGCCGCCGCCGCCGCATCGCTTATGCCAGTGTATGTGTACCTTGCCGACGTGGTGCGGCGTGGCGGCGGCCTCAGCCCGCACGCACTCCATAGTGGCGCCGTCTCTCTCGCCCCGCTTCGGCACGCCCGAGTGCGAGAGAGACGGCGCGAATGAGTCTGCGGCAGGCGCGTGGTAATGACGGCCAACGTGACGTGCGCGTCGTCGCGGGCCCCATGGCGGCCCCATGGCGGCCCCGGACGCCGTCCGTCCAGCCGGTCGCCGACCCGCCCAAACAACGCCCCAAAAAGTACAGCAATGAGGACACGCACCGCGAGGAGGCCGAGGAGGCCCCCGTCAGGGTGCGGCCGGTGGATCTGCCTCGCCGGGCCGCCGGGCGTGTGAACTTGGCCAGGCGCCGCCGCCGTGCCGCCGTAAGGTACGGTGTACAGTACCGGTCCGGGGGGGCTTCAGCAGGCTTGCGAGGAGAGACGCCGCTTGTCTGGCTGGTACTTCAGTATGTATGTACTTCATGTGGGTACCCTCCCCCTTTCCGAAAAAGAGACCCCCGCCCCCCTCCTCCTTCCCCACGGCGCCGCGGCCGATCGTTCCTAATTCACTGAGCATGGCGTGGCGGTGAGGCGAGTCCCCGCCAGTCCCGCGGGATGTCCGCGTTTGAGCTTCGTGTTCCGTGTCGCGGGAACGCCAGACAGCCGGACAGGCAGGCAGCCTTTACCCGGCCACTCGTGCATAATGCTCAGCGCGCAACCGCGGCATGAAAATTTGACGGCCTCGATGAATCGATCCTCGTCCCACTGGTCTGTCTGTCTGTCTGTCCGTCTGACTGGCTGGCGAATCCAGTCCAAGTTCAGCGTGGAGGGGTCGCCTCCGTCCACTGTCACGTCCACTGGAAAAGGGCGCGGGTCCGCCGCCCCCGCGGACGGACAGGGGATGCAGGGCCACGCGAGCCACACGCCAGGTCGAGGTGAAAGGTAAACACGGCCTGGCTGTCTGTCCGTCCGTCTGTTGGCCAAGCCAAACCACAGCACCGCCAACCTCTCATTATTTGGCTTTGGCGCCGACAGAGAGCCCCGCCACTCTCGCGGCCTGGCCGGCCTGCCCTGCCGCGGTGTCGCCGGCGAAAGGGGGTTCTTGTTCTTGCAGAGGTGTCACAGACAGGCGCGGCTGGTGACCGCAGACCGCGCCTACCCCCCCCCCCCCCCCCCCCCCGCACTGTGTTTGGAGTTTGGAGACGGACTCACCCGGTCCCGCCCAAACGCCTAGATCCTAGCCCGCAGGAAGCAGGTCTATTCCAAAATGAAGTGATTAAGGTCCGACGATTTCTCGAGGCGCAAGAGTGCGTGAGTGAGAGAGACGGGGAGAAGTCCGCCCCGCCCAGCTCGCTGGCCCCGGCCGGTGACCAGTCGCCACCGCTTGCTTCGGCTTGCTTGCGCAACTCCCGTGCGTGCCTATCCATCCCGATCCATCCCGTATCGACCGCCGGGCCGCCGCGCCGCCGCGCCGCGCCGCGCGCCGCCAGGTCGGCAGCCCGGGAGGATCCACCCGCCGCTTCGGTGCGCGTCTGTGTGCGTCGGTGTGCGCACTGATAGCCACCACACTGCACACGGCACGCCACTGACAAATTGGAGTCGTAATGGCGCCGGATCGAAGCCAAGCCGCCAAGCCACACAGGTGGAGGTGCGCACGGCCGCGCGGTGTGGAAACGCAGGGACGATGACGACCGACGACCTGTGCGCGCGAGTGAGTGAGAGCGAGCGAGCCCGCATGAGGCTCGCCGATGACGATCCTGTCTCGAGGAAACTATTTTTCCCGCGCACTACAGTGTAGAGTCGCGGGCATTGTCTGGGACT